TATTTACGAAATCCATCTTTTCAGATTTTGTAATAACTATCTCTTGACTTTCCTCCCATTTCAGTCTAGATTTTGCAAAACCATTCCTCGACTCTGTTCTCGTATTTACTAAATCTATAATTAATTTCTTAATATGTTGTAAACCAAGACAAGAACTTTATCTATTTAACCTCGTTTTCATTTCGATTATTTCTCACTCTCTCAACATCTTCAAGCCCTTCCTTGCATCTACAATTTTCTTTTTTCTTTTTTTTTTTCCGGAAAAACTTTGAAATGTCACATGCATGTGGGAGTAAAAATCCATCAGTGGACGAGCGTCCCGTAATTTTGGCACTTGAATATCCAAAATTCGATGCATCGAGCTCAGTTCGTCGACCTTCTATACCTCGACTGAGGATTCCTAAACACCCATTTACTTCGTTTGCTGCCGAGCTCTCCCCTTTCATCGTTACTATAAAGACTGGAGAGGTTGCTTCCTTTTTTCTGTCTCCTTTTCATTTGTTTTTAATTTTTTTTTGTGTTTTTTTTTATAACAAAACTCTCTGCAAAAGTTGGTTTATTACTGTTTTCTACTAAAGTATGAAAATGATTGGCTTTTATTGAAATAATATCATTCCATTTTAGGGCAAATTACGGCCACCCCTGAGTTATAGTCAAATTACGAAAACCCCCTTCTTGTTTGGGTAATTACGACCACCCCCCTCAAATATGTATTATCTTACGAAAATACCCCTCTGTAGGTAAATTTAGGGATGTTAATCGGTAAAACTGAACAGAAATTTTGGTACGCCAACATTTCATAACGTTTACTGAACTGAATATACGATTTGGTTTGGTAAATAACCGAATTACATAAATTTAAAGTAAAAATATTTAAAATGAGGGGGTGGTTGTAATAACCCAAACAAGAGGGTTTATTTGTAATTTGGCCATACCTTAGGGGGTGGCCGTAATTTGCCCTTCTATTCAACTAATTTGTGTGTTTATCTGTGTCTAGTTGTCTCCCAATTCTTGCGCTTATTGGTTTCATCAATCCACATATTCTGATTATTGATTTTCTATTTTAGATTTTAGATTTTTTATTTTTCATTTTTGATATTTGATATTTGATTTTTCATTGTTTTATTTATGTATACAAGGTAGGGTACTTTAGCTTCTCAGTCTTGATTTGATTATCTGTATTGTTAGACCTTTTGATTTTATTTGAATTCAAACTTGGATGTTGTACCTAACTTTTATAGTAAGTGAATTAATAGGAGTTCTTTTGGATACGACTGCATTTATTTGACTCTTCGATATTTTTTCCGAATAGATCTATCTTATCATAATTAAATCGACTAGGTGTCACAAATTAGGGCACAAAACCAATAAAATGTAACACTCATATACAAATACGTGACAGAACGGAAGTTGGAATTTTGTTTTCTAAGATGCAATAAAGATTCGAAGATAAGTTATTAGAACTTACGATCGTAAATCGTGTTTAGCAAACTAGTAATATAGTAAATACGGTTTCATTTTCACGTTCTATGAAAATATAAAGGGCCATTTATGCGAAACAAATGGAGATTGATTTCGATCTCAATATTTGAAGCGAACTTAACTCGATTTTAGAAGTTCGACTCGACTAAGAGCCGCTTTAGTTTCTATGAATTATTAGGTGGTGGAGGAATTTTGTACATCAATAGTTCATAATTATTGTCTCCTCGAGTTTTGGTAAATCATTCAAAAAGAAATTGATTATGTCAAATTATATGTTAATGTGGTGTTACTTTTATCCGTTTTCGCACAACTTAGTGATAGATTAATTTCAACCTTAAATTTCAGGGTCTTAACTTCATAGAAGATTTATAATATAGTAAGTTATAATTGAACTCCGAGAGAAGAAAAATTGTGATAAAAGAAATAAAAATAAGACTAATTCGTGGATGGAAATGCGGGAAAAGCAAGAAATCGAACACCACTACGATCGTTCAGTTGACGTATAAGTAGTTAACTAGTTACAATAATCTGATGTTCGATTTGCTTTTACGATTCTTTTTTTTTTTGTGTATAAATTATATCTCATATTTTTATTTTTTTTCTGCTTATAGGACATTGGAAAACGGATACGAGATTCCTTTCAAGAACGTATCCACCCAAGGTGTGGCGCTTTATCGGTGGAGGGATGTATATATACTGTATCAGGTGATATATCGAACCCGAGAGTCGATATAAAAGGGTTAGCAACGTATTTTGAGGTAAACATGCTTACTTGGATTGAGTCGAGTGTTTATTTCATTATTTTTTGGACGAAAAAGTAGAATTAATAATATGATTAAATTTAGCTATTTAGCTTGATTCGATAAATATTGCAGTGTATTAAATTTTGTCATTTAGTGGGGAATTTGTGTAGATTTAGTAACTTCTCCGTGAAAATAATATTGTGCATTTTATCAATTCTAATTTCTAAACGAATAATTAAATTACATATTTTTTTTTTTATACATCAACTTACGAAACCAATTTATTGTTGTACTTGCAGGGTAATTTTTCCATAGCGACCCTCTCAGGACGTTTCGTAATAACTAACAACGGACCTGTACAGCTGGACTATTTGAAAGTCGGCTTTCAACCATACGATGCGCTCGTCTGCGGTACTGTGATCGGGCCTCTGATAGCCGGTTGTGCTGTTCAGGTTAGCTTTTCTCGTAATAGTTATTTTCTTAATTAAGATAAAATCAAACGAATCGTCCTCCATTAGAATAACGAATTTTCACTATGTTCTTGTACAACATTTTATTTTAGTTTTCATTTCTTTTTGTCCAAATAATCCAAATATATAATCGTCAATTAGTGGGGGTTATTGTGCAGATTTAGCAACAACTCTGTGCAATTAATATTTGTGCATTTTATGTAAGACCGAATTATCGTACAATAGTTGTTATTTATGTTCAAACCGTATTTTTATTCTATTTTTCTTGTTGTTTTTGCTATATTTGATCACTAATTATGTTACAGTATATTATCCAACATTTGAATGTCTTTCCAAAAGATTTATTTTCATTCTTCTATGAAATATATTTAATTCAATTGCAGGTATAACTGAATGAGAATTCGATGCGTTGATTTTCATTGTGTGCCGTAACCCAACTAACGTTCATTTTAATGCAGGTCACTATGGGTTATGCCAGGTTGGATAACGGAGAAACGAGCACAACTCCTCCTCAGTCACCACAGTGCATCTCTGAGGGCTTTGCCGTAAACGAAAACGCCCTTGTAATAATTTGAAATGTTATCGAGCGTTTTAGATTGGTTGGCTATTTACATTAGTAGATTGTGATAGCATTACATGATTTCGATTTCGCGACTCGTAACTTTGAATATAATTTTTTTTATAATATCGAAACCTTTTTCTTTCCACTTCATCACATAAGCTGCATAAGTGTAAATTTATGACACTATTAGTGCATGTTTCTTCGAACCTTATTCTCTAATGTGATCTTTGGATTAAAGAGACTAATGAATAAAATTGTGAAAATTGCAGGTTCATATAACAAATTAGTATAGGCGATATTTTTCAATTTAAATAAAAATAAAAAAAATATTTTATAGTGCGGAAATTGTGCAGATTTAATCGATTTATAGTGTGGAAACTGTGCAGATTTAATCGAAAAACTCATGAAAAGTAGTTCATCATCTATATAATACTTTGAACCTACGGATCCAATTAGTAGTATAAGAGTTTCGTAGTAAAAACGATTATAACAGATTGTTTATAGCACGTTTACACTCGTAATTGGAGTAATTTGAAATCAACACAACCGTGAAAACTGCCCCATCATAATCGATGAGTTATTAGCATTATTATTTAAAATAGGAAGAATTAGACTTTCGATTCACTAATATTTTTGGTCTAATTTCACCTTTCATCCTCGTTGTTTCAAGGTAGAGAAAATACACATTAAATTGCCAATTTTCAGAAACATTTGGTCCACTCAGTCCCACTGTAGCGAACGTGACCCCAAATACGTCAGAATAAGGGCCAACGATACAGAATTGCAATTTTGGTCCCTAATGTTTTGCCCAATTTCACTTTTAGTCCCTGTTATTCCAAGGTGGACAAAATACACCGGTTTTCGGCACTCACCACACCCGTGTAATGTCGAATTTCCAAAAAAAATTCCATGTTAAGAACATTAGGAAAGACCCCCTATAAAATTTCCTAACTAGCCAGACACTAATTGGAACATAATAGAGTTCAACAATGAATGTAAACACAAGATTGTTGAATACTATAATACATATAGAATGTAAATATTTTAATGCATTGAAATTTCAAAATAACGAAAAATATGAAAGTCAATACTGAAAAATACTTGGTAACATAAGTATTCGATATAAATAGACAAAAACCGTAGCGTAAACAAAATTGTTTAAAACATTTTTTTTAATTAATTATGTTTGCAACAGCTTGGACATGGATATCTATGCTTAGAAGACAACAATCCTTGACTATGAATCCTTTGTTAGGATCATTAATAGTTGCAAGCTCAATGCATGCAGGCCATCCCCAACTATTGATGGAAGTTGAAAACCAATAACTAGTAGCTGCAAAAAAAAGAAAAAAAAAAAGTTTAATTTTTCGGCCTTTTTAACAACGAGTTTGAAACGTTGCAACGTAACTTACAATATCGCCTTGTTTGTATATCATAAAACTGGCTTTTCACGCATACGGTAAAACATGCCTGCACTCTTTCTAAACCAAGATGGTTCAGAAATATGCTAACATGGTTGTCGGTTCCCGTTCCACTTCCTTTCGGATCAAGAATAATCTTCCTAAGTTTACATAAAAAATAATAATAATAATAATAATAATAATAAAATTAAATTAAATGAAAAAAAGTAAGGAGAAAAAAGAGTAGAGTAGTTATGAAATAACACTTCCAGAAAGATAGTGGCAATAATACTAAAAAGTTGTACCACTTTTGACCTCCGGCTATGAATTGTTCAGAAAAGCATCATTCGTTCAATTTGGAGAAGTCCGAAATCTTGAAATCATGCTTGTAATGAATATTGATATTATTCAAAGACACACATTCAATGACGGCGTCTTTTTTTACTACAAAAACCTCAGCACCAAACACAATGTTGTCGTTGACTAGATAACCATTTGATGGATCTGACAGAATTTTCTTAGAGATAAATTTTGAAATACCCCATTCATGCATTGTTTCTAAGAAACATCTTGTTCTTCCTGTCAGTGAATTTTTTTGGTATCATAAAAAATACTCCTTAGCAATTTAAGATGTAGGATGAAAATGATAGAAAGAGAATAATACCCGGTGAAGAAAGATAATTGCCAGAAATCTGATTATAGAGAAAGATGTTGAAGAAAACATTGACCTCCCAGTTTGCAGGAAGAGAACTCGTGTCCGCCATAGCCAAGCTCACAGAAACATACTCACAATTTTTTCCATTAAAATAGATTATTAGTCTCTTGCACAAATTCAAACATCCTCTATTACTACAAAGAATAATTATATAATTCTTTCAAAGTACGAGTATCCTTATTATAATTATGTATATATATATAGAGAGAGACAATGGGAAAATTTATCGATTTTACATTTGGTCCCCATGTTCACAAAAAACACATTTGGTTGCTTATGCTTCAATAATTCAACACTTTTAGTCATTACTATCAATTTTCCATTAAAACTGAGGAATCAAGCCTGTGCTCATCACAACGAAATAATAGTAAATTGACGGAAATGACTATAAGTGTTAAATTATTGGACGTCAATACCACACGTGCCAAGAAAGGAGAAAGATTCAATCTTAACCAGTAAATGAGCAGGTGGTGCTTCTCTTGTTTCCATAGCGGTGATTTCTGAAAGCAGACATAGATTCGTATAAATTCAGCAATATATATATATATATATATATATATATATATATATATATATATATATATATATAAACATATGAGACAAAAATTGAAAAGCAAATTAGGTTTTGTGAGAATTTCCGTACCATCTATTGTTGGATTCACTGCCATGTTATTGTGCCCTGTGTTTGGAGGAATTAGGGTTTTCTCCAATGCTTACGTCTGCAGAGTTCTTGTTCAACACTCCAACTAGGACAATTAATCAGTAATTGCAATTCACAAGTTTTCTTGAAACTAATGCACCACTAATTTTTTGCGTAAGATTTTGTATATTATTTTAAGGAAATAATTACACGTTGGCTTAATCCCACTTTGCACCCTTGAATTGGAGCATTTTGGCATTTGCACCCTTGAAAAACAATAATAGCACTTTGCACCCTCAAAAAACAATAAATCATTCACACTGCACCCTCAATTGAATAATAAAGTTTTTATTAGGTTTTTTTTTTTTTTTTTCTGGGATGCAAAATAACAAATTAAATTGTTATTTTCTTCAACCTTCCACATAATTTCGAGCGCACAAAGTGCGACATTATTAAAATTACACATGATTATTGAAAAACAAAACTATATTTTCTTCCAAAATAAAATAAAATAAAATAAACGTTTATCTTTAAATTATTCGATTAATGGATCTTTAATTGTAACTGGTGAAAATATTTGGTAAAGATATTTGGAAGAAAATATGATTTTCAGATAACTTGATAACAAAATAGCTTAAGGATTTTTTTTTTGGGATAAAAAAAATGTAATTTTTAGATATGTTGATGAGATTTTTTTTTTTTTTTTTTGCATTTTATAGTTTCATAATGATTGATGATTAAAAAAAACTGCATTTGACATTTGTCATCCTAAAAATACCACTAAAAACATTTGATTACCTTTATTAGGTTTAAAAATTCATTTGGGATGCATTATGCATGATTTATTGTGTCTCGAGGGTACAATGTGCTATTAATTTTTGTTGAGGGTGCAAAGTGCCAAAATAATATATTTCAAGGGTGTGAAGTGGGATTAAGCCTTAACCTTTTTTTTCTTTGAACTAACACCTTCGAAATAGGGGAAATTTTGTACACGCCCTAAGAACTAATATTCCTGCAAATAGATCCACAAAAAAAAAAAAAAAAAAAATTTTATCTCTAGATCATGTATGATAAAAATACACTCATCTTATTTAAAATACTTATAGAGCATAATCCGAAATGAATCTAAAAATTAGAAAAAATCAAAGGTTGTAGATTTTTATGTCGACCTTCCACCACAACTTGAATAAGAGCTATTGGGGATTAATATGCATAATGATTTAGAATTGGGGTCAAGGTGCAATTGGTTAAATGATGATTTTTGGAATGAAATTGGAGTAAATTAGATATTAAGGAGCATTTTAGTATTTGGTAGGGTTGATGTCCTTTTTGGTACAAGTGATTTTGGAGTGGAGGGATTACCAAATAAGTAACATCCCATGGGTTGATTTGCGACTTGCCCTAAAAAAATAGGTCGTAATCTAATGTTTGGTTATAACGGTTATGAACATATATTGTTCAAAGTGCCCCCGTAGGCCATAACATTAGATTTAGTATTAGGGTAAATAGCATAACCCCTGTATTTAAAACTTTTTCCAGTTGATGTGAGCTAAATGGTCCGATAGAGAAATTGAGATATGTGATGCATTGAAGGACCACTGAAAGAAGGCCCAAAGTAGGAAAGCCCACTCCAAGCCCAAGAGACCTGCAAAAAAGGAGTATCAGGGGGAGTTATTTGGCGTTAGCACTCCGACGATCAAGTCAATTGGTTTTTTAATGAAATATTGTAAGTACTTACAATATCGTCTAGTTTGTTTATCATCAAACTGGTTTTTTATGCATACGGTAAAACATGTCTGCACACTTTCGGTACCAAGATAGTACAAATAGATGCTAACATGGCTGCCAGTTCCTTCTGCATTTCCTTTTGGGTATAGAAGGATTTTCCTACGTTTACATATATTAAAATATTTAAACACAGCAAAAAAAAAGAAGGTAATAGTTGTGACAAACAAAAAAATTGTACCATTTTTGGTGTCCAGCATCAAATTCTTCAGACACCCATCTTTGGGGAAATTGGGAGAAACCCGAAATTTCCAAAGCATGATTGTAATAAGTATTCACATTCGTCAATAACACACGTTCAATGACTAGTTCTCTTTTGACCACAAAAACTTCAGCACCAAACACACAGCTGTCATCGGTTATGTATCCATTTGATGGATCAGACAAAACCTTTCTAGAGATAAATTTTGAAATTCCCCATTCGGACTTTGTTGCTTGGAAACAAAGCGTTCTTCCAGCCAATAATATTATAAAAATAGTGCTTAGAAATTAAAGTAAACAAATAATTTATGACTAAAAAGAGAAAAAAAAAAGGTGAGTATTATATAATACCTGTTGAAGAACGATAGTTGCCCGAAATCTGATTACCGAGAAAGACGCTGAAGAGAGCATTGACTTCCCAGTTTGTAGGCCGAGAAGTTGTGTCCGCCATAGCCAAGTTTACCGATCTTTAATCACTATCTTTTCCATTAAATCTGACTATCAGTCTCCTGTTCAAATTCAAACATCTTCCATTTAGGCTTATTTAGTGGCTTATTAAGGAGAGGGAGAGAGAATATACCACTTGTAATCGCCGGCGACAAATTCTTTTGTTTCGTATTTCTTAGTTCCATACTTTTCTAACACGGAGAAAGATTCAATCTTGATCATGTAGTGAGCAGGTGGTGCCTCTCTTGTATTCAAGGTGGTCACTTGTATTCAAGGTGGTCACTTCTAAAAATAGTAGATGCACATAATGTACATACATACATACATACATACATACATACATACATACATACATACATACATACATACATACATACATACAGTAGAATCTCGATAAATTAATAACCTCGCTTAAATATTAACTTCTCCCAGTCCCGAATCGGTGAAAACGTACTAAATTATTAGTTCGATGATTATTAGTTAGAATTTTGCCAGTTCCGACTGTATTGATTTTGCAGAGGCTTAACTGTATATACACGAGAAGCAAAAAATAGATTTTTTTTGTAAAGAGAATTGTCATACCATCCTTCGTTGCTGGCTTCACATACAAACAGTTTCCCATCGTCTTCTTCTGTTGTTTTTTTGCCCTACTTTAAGTTTGTAAAATCAGAGTAGTCTTTATATATTATTATATACATGCATGAATGGGAATATTAATTATTAATCAGTACGTAAGTACTTTGACTTCCATGGGAATTCTAATGCATGAAGAGTTCTTGTCCAATGGGAATATCAATACGTAGGTTTTCTTGAAATTTAAGTTTGGAACGGTGAATATTGGTATAAGTTAGTCACCAAGTGAATTTAATTTAGGGTTAAATACGCTTTGGACCCCCGAAGTATATATACTCTATGTAACATTTACCCCTTAAAATTTCATTTGTAATACGTACCCCTTAATATAATTATTTTTTATTTTGATATTTAAAAAATAATAATAATAATCTTAATATATTTCCACTTTCATTAGATGTAATAATTTAAAACATAATTTAAATAGTTTCATAAAAAATATCAATTGAAAAGTCAATGCAATATTTAATATTTTAAAGATTTATATTTCATTGGTAGAATAAAAAATCCATTAGAGTCGAGACGAGGAAATTAACAACAACTGAAGAAACATCAAAATACTTAAAAATCGACAGCTAATGACAATGATAATAATCATAATGCCAATGCTAGTAATACTAACTATAATGTTAATCCTAATAATAGTAATGCTAATTATAATGTTAATCCTAATAATAGTAATGCTAATTATAATGTTAATCATGATAATAATCATAAAAATAATAATTATCATAATAATAATAATAATAATAATAATAATAATAATAATAATAATAATAATAATAATAATAATAATAATAATAATAATAATAATAATAATAATAATAATAATAATAATAATAATAATAATAATAATAATAATAATAATAATAATAATTCACCGGGATTACGAAAATTAAAATTCACCATATAGTCAACCAAAACTACTTTAAAATTATCGAAAATCGCAGTAAAATTTACCGTAAAAATCACTGTGAAATTAATGTAATCCACTATTGTATTGACATAATGCACAACAAACATATCGAAATCCACTAAAAACATACATAATCCACTACGAATGAACGTAATCCACGACTAATGCAACTGAAATAATAACAAACAAAAAAAGAACGTAAATCCACTATTGGAAATGCAAATCCACTGTTATGTCCAGTGGCCCTGGGATCACCCAACCTAGCCACCCCGTCGCCTCACTTCACCTGCTCAAGAACCTGAATTGAAGAAAATTAACATAATCTACTGCGATGTTAACGTAATCCATTACATAATGAATACACGACAAAATTAATGTAATTGAAACTTTTACAAATTCAATCTGTTTCGAATGCAAGAATTTAAAATCCACGACTATCTCATTAGGCCTATTTTGGTTGGAGGGATGGGAATAGATGGGATTCAAAATCCAACTGCACATGACACTGTAGAGATAGATGGTAAAAGCTAGGAACTCATATTTGTTAAGAGGGATTGAGTTCATGGGATTAAATCTTTCGTTATCAATCTTCTGATAGGTATGTTGGATTGGTTGATTATTGTGATCATTTACAATATTACCCCCACAAATTAGGATATTAATAATGCTTTTACGTATCATTTGTTCTGCATGATTTCAAATTTTCATTTGAATTTTCGTTTTCTCCTTCGTCTTCTGTATACATAATTATGCAAGCTAATAAATATCATTTTTTCTTTTGGTGTGATGCCAAAGTTTGTGGAGCAGATGATGATTTCCGACTTGTTGGAAATGATTAATGCATTGCAATCTTTGGTTAGAAAGCATGAAGCAAAAAATGGATGGTGAAAATTGTTGATGTTTTAAGATCAATGTTTGTTGTCCTCAAAGTTAGTATTTACCAAGTCCTAATAAATAGTAAAAAAAAGGATTTGATTGGTAGCAATCAAGTACTTAAATAATTTCTGAAAATGACCGAAAATAAATTAGAGTGCTCGGTGAATCTTCACACCATCAATTTTCTCGACATCAATGAAATTCTCACAAAACCTGCAAGGCTGTAACACCATTATTACAAGTTTATCGAACATTTATCAATAAAAAAATATTCATACAATCATATCACGGTGGAACATCAAAGTGATACAAAATAACAATTCTCATGAATACAATTGAACCAAATTCACAAAACAAAGACAACTAACTACCTATCTCGTACTATTCGATCCTAAGAAAAATAAATAAATACAACAATATCTTAAACGAAAAACTAGTGTTGAGTCTAAGTATTTCCTCTATTTCTTGTAGTTATCTTTACTATCCGTCACCTGTTCGCAAAGAAAAAAATAAAATAAATTACTTAAGTTAGTAAAAAATAACAACGATCGAATACAATAAATTGGTAGTCCCGTTGCTTACGGAACTCTAAAGCATAACAACTTTGTCTGATGGTCATGCTACCGATAACAAAATTACTGAATATATGCTCCTTTAAGCTTCCATTTTCTATATATTGAAATACTAGGAACCTGAAAAGATAAAATAGTACTACTAAAAGAATCTAAATCTATTTAAATTAGCATTTATTCAGGTACACCTTTAAAATATAGAAGTCATTCCATCATAAAATATGTATCAAACATGATGCAGATAGACAAAAAGAGGGATTCGAAGACAAAGATTGGAACACTCTAGAGATTAAAATACAAATATGGGAGAAATCATGAAAAGCAACTTCTTGATTACCATTTTCCAAAATTTGGGGGAGCCTGCTAAATAAAGTCAGTCAATCGTAAACTTCTTTCCATGATAGTCTTATCAAACCAAAATCCAGCTCAATATTAACTATTGAAACAAAGAAAAACTAATTCAATTTGCAAAAGGACATTAAAATTATAAAGTGCAAGATTTCATAACAAGCGTAACTCGTCGATGAAGTACAAATGAGATATTAGTAACGGAGATATAAAGCTTCATACTAACAAGTTCAATTTATTGCATTGTAACCTGACCAATGTGGATTCTCGTAAGGCTTGCATTTCTCATAAATAGTGATAGTTTTATGTTATTAATCCAAACAAGACAAAGATCTCAAGTCCAGTATAAATTGTTTGTTGCGACCATAAATTCCACAAAGATCTTTTTCGATAACAAGCTTAACAAAAAGCAAATATCACCACCTGTCGAGCACAATCGAAATCAACTCAAATTTCACACAAATAGCCATCTACACATTTAAAGAATGAAAATTTTGCATTATAATTTATGTTTAAACGAATTCAAAAACCTATTTATATACAAAAAGTGCATGCATGCAAGGAATTCAAAGACAACTCTATCCCTTTTCTTTTGGATCCAATTAAAAAAATTTAAAGTATCAATTCAAGGAAGTTTCTTGTTATTCTCGAAAGACATAAACCACCATCTTCTCTACCTATGAAAACCTCAAACATAAACTAAATAAAGCAAGAAGAGAATTAGAAAGTAAACAACATTCAAGACAAAATGTAAATTAGTTCTCTTGAGTTTTCTACTGTTTGTCTCCCCATACCTATACACTTGAAGCATTCTTGAACATACTTATCTTTCAATTACTCTTTTTACTAAAAACATTGAAGGGGAGGTTCTCTGTCATAAATTGGCATATAAATGCCAGAAACATGCACAAAATTGATGGGTGAACAAGTAATAATATGGACGCAGATCATAACATGTATTAGCTAACCTGATAATGCAAACATATTTTAGGAAGAAGGCGTTCAAGCTTGTCGTCTAAACCGAGTCGTAAGCTATCCGATTGAGCAAGCCCCGTCCACCAGTCGACAATTCGTATGCAACAACTCCTTTCAACATTTATAGAACACAAAAAAGTTGGAACGGAGTTAGATTTTTTCCCAAAAAAAAAAAGCAAAATAAAAAAATTATATAATCTATAAAATCGAAGGGACGCAAACCTTGTGCAACTCCGATGAAGAGCTTCAAGAAATATATAACGGACTTCTTCAATCAGCAGGGGAAAAAAGGGGAAACAAATACGATTTTTTTCTTATGTTAATCGAAGGAGAACAGAAGAAACCGAAATGTGTAGAGAGATGAACGGCCAAGGCTGCTAGGGAAGATGAGGTTTGGGGGAAAAATTGTAATATATACCCGGTACAAGTGTAATAACGGAAGAATATTGAGGGCTTAAAGGTCAAAAATCATGTGGGTATGTAGGGGAACGGATGGGATTGTGGGATCTCACCTCCCACGGTCGGCTCTACGATCCATCAATTAGCGGATCGTAACCTGTGCCCAAGATCCATCGCGGGTCCGTTTAAATGAACCAAAGTTGAGATCCGGGTAGATTAGAAGATCCATCCGGCCCAATCCATTCAACCAAAATAGGCCTTAAAATCCACAACAAAAATATCGAAATTCACTAAAATAATTAACGTAATCTACTATCAAATTAACCGAATCCCCCACCAATAATTGCTTTTTGAAAGAGAAAAACCATTCCACTTATATCAAACTCCACTAAAACCTTGCCGCAGTTCACTAGAAATTGACGCGATTCACTACAAAATTAATGTAATCCACTATAAACATCATTGAAATAATTGAACCACTCAACTCTCAAGAGTCACCAAAGCAATCTACAAAGACTACAAAAATTAAAGTTATTAACTATTGAAAACTCAAAAAAATTAAAGTAATTCTCTACAAAATTAACCTAATCCATTATAAAAATAACTACAAAAACATCGAAAATATTTATGAAAAATTATCACCACCAAAACAACTGCCGACAAAGATTGAATTCTTTAGCATGTAGTCTGACGAAGAGAAGAAGTTAAATTGTGGGCTACACCGTAAGGCCTATTTTGGTTGGAGGGATGGGAATAGATTGTATTATCAAATTTGATTCCATTTCTTAAAAAAAAAAAATTTGCATCAATATTTAAACTAAATAAAATTTTTGAAATTTCCAATTTTTAATAAAAATAAATCAATGTATTCAGAAAAATCAAAATTATTCATTTATAACATAA